AGCCAAGCCATTACGGAAACACCTACTGAGATTGCAGCAACCATATATGGCCTATTTTTCTTCTTTTTTTCTATTATAAGCTTTACTCATAGGAAATCTAAAAAGTGACAGGCTTTGGAAGCTGCTTGGGAAGTATTCAGAATATAATTTTAAAACAAGGTATATAAAAAGTAGCCACCACAACATTCACTGCTGACAGGCCTACTAAAATTACTACGTAAAATCTTTTCTTCAAGATTCATCATAAAGATATGACCTGTAAATATCAGCCATAGAGAGCGACCTTACCTTGAGACAATTGACCAGCAGACTGATTACGTTTGATCTCCTCTGCAACTGCTGCTCCAGTAGTTTCATTGCCATTCATAACAACAGGTGTATCTTCATCCTCGACGACTTGAGAATAATCCAGTCCTTGTGGTACTCTTAGGATAGCCACTCCATAGTACATATCCAGTGCTTCACTGTAATTAAGAAAGTGTTTTTAATGCTTGGTATTCTGACACCGATGCACCACAAGGTTTGCAAAAGTAATATCTATAATGAAGATCTGGAGATCATAGAACTTCAACAGTTGTTTTTAAAACTAAATCAAGAAAATACAGAAATTTATCAAACATATGTGAACTTTCCAAAAAAAATTTTAGCACACACATGATACAAAAATCCAGCTTTATGCTTTAACTTTTAATTGGAAAAAAAAGTAATGGTCATTTTACATATTAAATCACTTACTGTAAGGTATTGAAGTACGATCTGAGCTCTAAACGGTCACACTTAGCCCAATTTGATTTGTATCCCAGAAGAACAATATTTGGACGAAGTTTTCCCAAACCAACAAGCTGTGGATAATTCATAAAAGAAATTACTTATCATGAGTTCAATTTGAAGAAGTGAATTCTTGCAAATAGGAGAAAGAACCAATTTTCTGATGAAAACTTAACAAGATTAAAGAATCAATATAACATATAACAAAATTCTATATCATCAGCTTAGTCATAACCATTCAATTGTTTAACACAAAGTCCATTACATCCAAGTACATAATAACCCCTTGTATTCAAATTCATCTACACACTGCTGGAAGGTATTTCAAACCTTCTATTTGATGAAGTTAGTTACACGTCAATTTGCCAGTATAAGTAAAAAATACTGTATCTAAAACCATGTCCAAGTAGCATACCTGGAACAAGTTCCTGGAGCCTTCCTCAAGGTTGTTAGCTTCAACAATGGAGTAGAAGGCACGAATCTTATGACGGGTCAGCCAGTTGTAAGCTCGCCTGGTCAAAGAATTACGCACTCTTTGTGTCTGTGGGCCCTGAAAAACAAAAAAAGACAAACTGTGAAACATGAAGGAAAGTGCACCTACAAATATGACACACAGAAATATCAATATCTTTAATTGATTTCTTTAACGCAATCAATCTATTCAAATACAAATATTAAGAAATACAGGGGGGGGGGATACCGTACCTGAATAACATGTCCACAAGAAAGGAGAGAAATATTCTTTGTAATAGTATGGGCAAAGTCCAAGAGTGGAGGCCTTGTGCCAGGAGCTCCAGAGAGAACAAGGAGCTGAGGACGGTAGTTCTTGACATGCTCTTCAACAGTGATCAAGTCAAGAGTGGATTTCAGAGCTGATACATATGTCTGTGCTTGAGTAGATGAGCCCCAGTTGACATCTGCCAATGAAAGAAAATAAGAAAATGTAAACAATTGTATACTTCTATATAACCAATTATTCACACAGAAAGAGAGTAATAAATACACAAATAAAAAAATAATCTAGAGTAGTAATCGCATAAAAATATGAAACAATTATGCATCTGACTCACCAGGTTTACGGTAGGCCACGAAGAGGTACAGGGCGATGATGACAATGAAGGTGATGAAAGCAGTAACCACATTAATCAAGAACATGACCATCAAGCAAAGGATTCCACCGACAAGACTCACCCAAGAGTTATAATACTGTAGAAAACAAAAGAAACTGATGAATCTCTTATGTTATATATTCAAGTAAAACAACATAAAATACATGGATCTCATCTTCAGGTCTCCTTTTTTCTTTATTTCTTTCTTTTTCCAGTATGTATGTACATTTACATATGTAGTGTGTATGTAAAAATATGTGTCTATGTTTATACTCACCTTAAATGAAGGACGCCAGCCAGGAGACTTAATAAGTGTTGCATGGAAGCAAGAAAAGTTGATGAGACTGTAAGCTGCCAAGAAGAAGTTACTCAGAAGTGATGAGACAACATTCAAGTCACCTGTTGGTATTAGAAAAAAACAAAACAAAAAAAAATTAGATAAATAAAATGAAATAATGAAATAAAATATAATCTAATTTGATTAAACACATTAAATAAACTTGTTTACTGTTTCATTCATTTTGCACATCTGGCTTTACTGATTACACCTAATGGGAAGATTAGAGCCTACTACACACCGATCATGATACAGATGAAGGAAATCACAAACACCAAGATGTATC